GATAAACACCACATGGCTGTTTGCCTTCCCCTTTGTTTGAAGAGCCTCTTATTCACCGCTGCTCAAGCGAGGCTGTGTGGCCGTGAACTTGCAGGGATCCTCCAGCCCCTGTCTCCCATCTTACTGTAGACTCGCTGAGATTACGAATGTACACTACCGTTTCTGGCTTTACGTGTGTTCTGGGGGCCAGAACTCTGCTCCTCAAACTTCTGTAGCAAGTGCTTGATTCACTGAGCATCTTCCCAGCCCCACAAACATCTTTCATTGAAGGCTTTCTTGTAAGATACCAGCTACCCCACCCTTCCAGCAATCCCTTGTCTTTAGTGGGGTGGCCGTAGGCAGGCCACATTTTCTCCTTTCTCTGGGTTCTAAGTCCTGTCTCCTGCAGACTCACAGGTCTCCAAGGTCTGGGCCTTCCAATAAGCACTGATTCCTGACTGGAAGGAAGGAGGTGGGCATTCAAAACATCTTTCAGGGTTGAGAGAGTTTCCTAAGATAACACTAATAGAGTTTAGATATCAAAGATAAGCCAGAGCCACTTAGTGCCAGGAACACAAGCTGTGTATTTATTGCATGTGTTCGGGGGGTTATAACAAGTAAAATGAGGCTTAGTACGAATCAATGACCCGTCTCAGAGAGCCAACTTTGGCATCCATGGCGCCCCAGTCGTGGTAGCGCCTGTAGTCTCCGGGCCTCAGCAGGTACTGCCGCCCCCGGTAGTTGGGCATCTCGTAGAGGACCCAGCAGCCCTCCAGCACGTGCATGGAGTAGATCTCATTGAGGCGGAAGCGATCGTGGATGCAGGAGCAGTCTTCGATGAGCTCAGACACAAGGCCCCGGTAATCATCTCTCTCATACAGCCTTATCCTGTGAGAGCTGGTCTGTTGTGGGGGAAAACGAGAGAGGAGAAGCAATGGCACAACGTGCTGGGTGTCACAGCTTGCTTGCCCCCTCACCAAACACGGCTTTCAGGCAAATCTGTCAAGTAGGCTTCTTCCTTAATCCGACTCCTTGCACTGTTGTTCTAACAAATTAGGAAATGCACTAACATAAAGCTGACCTGACCAGTGAACTGGAGCTCTTGTGAAGGATACTGACACCCAAAGGCTGGGAGTGAAAGCATTTACTGCCCGTGTAACCAAATCCTACCAAGCTTGCTTTGAAGCCGCCTTTTATACGCAAGATAGGCGATGATTCAGATTTACTTGGAGTCCACATGCATTTCTTATTCTTTCCTTTTCTTGTCCTTTCTTTCTTTTCTTTTCTTAAAGACAGGTGTTGTGGACTGTAGCTCATGAAATTCTAATTACCCGCCTTGTAAGAAACTAGGCAGTAATGACTCCTGAAAAGTGCAAAGCCACACAAGGTGAGAGCCACCTTTTAGGCTCTAGGTGAGTGTGAGAGCGTACAGTAAAGAAAAATCTTAGAACACACTAGCTCTAACCAAGTTTAACTAATTGATTTTCAAATGTGCTTACATATTCTAAGATCAACAGATAATTTGTGTGTACTTATTAGGCATAGCATACTGTTTTAGAGTAAGCACTATGATTAAATCTAGCTAATTAATGTACATTTACCCTCTCATAATTATTGTCTTTGTTGTGCAAATACACAGAATCTACTCCTTCAGCATTTTAATTGTGCGTTTAGGATGTATTTGTGTTCAGTTTATGTGTGTGAGTGTTTGCCTGCATGTTCAACTACATGTGTCGTGCTGGGAGCTCATGGAACATGAGACTCCCTAGAACCGGAGTTATGGACAGTTACGAGCCACTTGTGGGCTCTGGGAACTGAACCCGGGTCCTCCAGAAGGGTAGCCAGTGCTCTTAACCACTGAGCCATCTTTCCAGCCTCGTCTTTTAACATTTTTAAATGCCTCTAAAACGTGCCAGGAGCTGTCATCACTGGGCTGTACAATATGGGTCTCTAGAATGTAAATTCTTCCTCTCTAGCTGTGATTTTTCTTTTTCTGACCGTCGCTCCAAGCCTCTAGTGCCTTGCTCTATCACTCTAGCCTCACCATCCTCTTCCCTACTGTCTTTATCCCCGGTGCTGAGGACAGAACTCAGGGCTGCATGGTGGGCACACTACCACTGCTAAACCCACAAACCCTGGTCTCCTCTCCCTCCGTAAACCTGCCGCTTTAGATTCCACATATGTGTGAGGACACGTGGCTTCCATCAGTACATGCCTGGCTCATCTCTTTTAGCACAGTGTCCTTCAGGCTTATCCAGGCCATGACAAAGGACAGGATGTCCTTCCTTTAGGCCTGAAGGACATGTGATTATTCACCCAAGTTTAACTTTAAAGGTCATGCTGTGGTTTCTTGTGTCCTAAAACACTGATGCTCTCACGTAAGAAATATATATATATATTTTTTTATTTCTGTCCATATGTGTATATATACTCATTCTATTTAGGTCTGAGAGTTGGATCTTGATATACTTACAGGGAGCCCTTGTCAAGTGTTCCTATCCTTTCTGAGACTACTAGACCAGGCACGGGAACAAACTGACAAGCAGAACGCCCCGTGTTCTCACATCAGCCAGGCTGAAGCAGTACTCACGTATGGAATGGAGCGGCAGGAGCGGATGGAGTCGCTGAAGCCCATCCACTGCTGGTAGTCAGGGTAGTCCCCGCGACGCAGGAAGTACTGGTGGCCCTGGTAGTTGGGGCGCTCATAGAGCATCCAGCAGCCGCTGTCCACGCGGATGGAGTTGCAGCGGCTGAAGTAGGGCTGCAGGTTGGGGTGGTCGCTGCTGCACTCGTAGCAGCGGCCCTGGAAGCCGCGGTCCTCGTAGAAGGTGATCTGGAAAGGAAGAAGGGGTGGCCAGCACATGGTCAACCGGAAGACACATCCCCACATAGAGGAGACACTCCACAGACCCGGAAGGTTCTCCCTTGGCTCACCTTTCCCATCGTTGGCAGCAGGCGATCGGTGTCAAGTGTGATGGGGTCAGGAGTAGCAGCGGACGCATATATAGCAGGATGGCTGCTGTGTTGGCAAGATGAACACAAAAGGGACCTGGGGGTAATGTGTAAGGGGATTTCTGTGTTCTCTCGCTTTTTCATTTGGGATCATGGGGTAGGGGGCTCTCATTCTCTCTGGCATTTTCGAGTTGTCCTCACTAGCTCCAGTGAAAGGAATTCAAGTCAGCAGTGCCATTATGACCTTGGAGACAAAGGGCGCGCTTCTCATCCTATGCAGCGCTCTAGAAATGCATTATGTACCCAGCATTGTGCGATGTTTGCCTATAGAAACTGCTGAGATGCAGGGTGGCGCTTCCGCTTGTGGGGCGCTCAGGAGACTCACACAAGGTCCAGAAGCACTCTTGGGTGCCAAGAGACAGCAAAACAAAGACACCAAACAAGTTCTCTAATTGAAAAATAGTTACATATCTTTATCTGTATACTATGGCGTTGAGTTCTTAAAACTTGCACCTGTTTAAGACAAAAAGATTAGAACTGCGTATAGACTAAAACGTCAACCATGGTCATCAATGAATAATGGTATGTTTACATAGAGGTCCTTGTTTTATTTCTTCCTTTTGACTTTAAAGTTTCTTTAATTTTCTACTATAAATGTATATTGCAAAAATCAATAGATAAAAGGAGTAAAATAAAATTTAGATGTGTGATTTTTTTTTAGTTAATAGTTAAAGCATATGTGTGTGTTTTGAGGTGATGAGAACAAACACTTCTTGGTCTAAAATTAATAGATCTCCCAAGACTCTGAGGCACACTGATCAGGAAAAGTCATAGGACTTTTTCATTCTTCCTACCACCACCTTTCTTCCAGGATTTACTTTTTGTTCTTAAAGTTAGTGCCATAGGGCTGGAGAGATGGCTCAGAGGTTAAGAACTGGCTGTTCTTCCAAAGGTCCTGAGTTCAATTCCCAGCCACCAAATGGTGGTGCATGACCATCTATAATGAGATCTGGTGCCCTCTTCTGGACTGCAGCTGTACATGTAGGCAGAATGCTATATACATAATAAGTAAACCAATCTTTAAAAGCAGTGCTATGCTTTGTCTCTGTTTTCCCCTTGCCAGACTGTCAATCTCCCTGAGCCAGGATGACTGCCATAAGAACTTTCTTCTTTGCTGCCAACTGGCTTGGAATTCTTCTCGGAGCGTCATTAAATCGTAGATTATCTTCTGTCATCCCATCCCATTCCATGAATATTTTAGGAAGGGAAGTCATGCCCACAAGGGGACTCTAAAGGGACACCCAACTAGAGTTATCAATACAGGTTGAATAACTGCATGAAAATCCCCAGGCATCACTTACATGACACGCACAGATGGTGAAAGAACAGACAGCAAGAACTGTCTTCTCATAGTGAGACTGCGCAGGAGCAACCTGAGCCAAGTCCTCAGCAGCTGGAGCATTGCCAAGGACTACAGGCTACTGAGAGCCTCCTCTGCCTCCATCCTAGTGTTCCAAGTGTCCTGGTGAACTTCAAGTACAACTGTGATCAAGCCCCATGTGGAAAGGCCCAAACTGACCTCCACAGCCACAACCCGCACGGGGGTATCTCACTATTTGCAGTAGAGGTCAACAAACTCACCTGACTTTGCACGTGTCACTAAGACTATCCTGCAGAAAGATGGCTGACCCAGTCCTTTAGAAAGGAGAGGTATAGCCGGGCATGGCGGCACATGCCTGTAACTCCAGCACTCAGGGAGGCAGAGGCAGGTGTATCTCTGTGAGTTTGAGGCCAGCCTGGTCTACAGAGTGAGTCCAGGACAGCCAAGGCTACACAGGGAAAGGCTGTCTCAAAAAACAAAAAGAAAAACAAAAAAAAAAAGGAAAGAAAGAAAGAGAAAGAAAGAAGAGTTATGTGTTCTGACATTCACCTGATGCAGTTGTTTTGCTAATTGGTTAATCCATGTATCTTTTTGACATCTTGGAAAGGCCTGAAAAGAGCAGCACATTTTCTTTTCCTGCTGGTCATCATGTTCTACCCAAAAAAAGCCGGCATCTGTTTATTTCTCTTTTCAAACTTTATTGAAATGGGATGAATTTACATTTAGTATGCTAATGAGAAATTAATTTTATTTGGGGTTAAAACTTCGGAAAACTGCCTCCTTCTCCAGCATTCTATGCAATACTTAATGCTACAAATTTGCCAAAACATGTATCAAAATCAGGCTGTCTGATCTTACCCAGAAATAGTGAACCCTCTCAGGATATTCCAGCAGTTTTCAGGCATACAATGGAGTAGCATAGGATATACACCTTTTGCCAAAATATAGTGTATGCAATATGCTTCTAAAAGAAGAAAGCTCGATGGCGAATGTGATAATCAGTGCTGTTTGCATCAATAGCTAACTGCAGATAGTGCGCTGGTGACCACAGCAGTGTTAAGGCAATGCTTCCTGTCTGCTCCCAGAAGCTCTGGTTATGCATTCCTGGTGCGAGAGTCCACATCTCTAAGTGACCTGCAGAAGGAAAAGAGGGGTTTGGTACCAAGCACAGACACATACACTAGGTTTCTATAGGTAGGGAGTTATGGTCAAGTATCAGATACCAACAGAGATGGATTAGGTAACTGTAGATGTAAAAGAATTTCCATGAAACAGTTCAGCAATATCTGAAAATGAGTTGTTTTTCTCAATTGAATACAGTGTGTAATCTCATGTTGTATCCTCGAAGGGACATTATACCTGCAAGTGAAAAAAAAAATGCTACTTGGGTGATAGATTAGATATAAGTAACAATGCTATAGATTCTGGAGTTAATAATTGGTTATTTAAGAAGATGACTTTGCATTTAGGAGCTACAAAGTAAAATATACAGGGTGAGTTGATAGGGTGCACAGTTAATAGCTCAGGAAAGATTCTTCATCAATGACTATATATACGAACAAAAAGACAGAAGGGAAAAGAGATGAAGAGAAAGACATAAAGCTAGTGGGACAAGCAGCAACAGTAGATGACGAATCTCTGTTGTTCATGCGAGGTCAACATTTCCTTAAGCTTGGAATTATTTCCAAATTCAATTTAAAAATCATAAAAGTCAAACTTCTTTGGACCAGCGCTACCCAACATAAAGCATCTTTCAGCTCTGTACTGTAGCATATTATTTTAGGTTTTGCATATAATTGCTTTGAAATTAAGTCTGGCCTTGTTCCATGATACTGTAGGTTCTCTGGGAATAGGAAAGGAGGGGGCAGTTATCTTTCTGTTTGCTATAGTCTTGGTGATTCTCTGAGCCTCATATATACGGTAACTCACCTAGTCTTGAAATAACCCTGTGAGGTACATGATACATTCTCTTTTATAGAAGAGAAAGTGAAGTGCAGAGTGACTAGCTTTCCTGGTGAATATTTCTCATATCTATTTCGACTAAAACAAGCTACCAGTGTGATAAAAAGGAAAGTAACTTAAATGTTTCCCAGAATAGCTGGGAGTGTTCAAAACAGTTTTTGCCTTTCTCTTAGTTTATGAAGAAACTCAGTGGCTGGAAATAAAAAGAAAACTATGAAGAAAGAATTGTTTTACATCAAGGTTTAAAAAGTAGGTTTTAGTGTAATTAATAAAGAAAAAATAATAATAATTTTAAAAAAGTAGGGGTTTTTTTGTTTCCATCTGAAAGTTAGACATTACATCCATAAGCCATAAAGTAAAAATGAAGAATCCAAAATATGTAAGATTTAAAAAAAAAAAAAAAAAAAAAAAAACCTCAAACAACAAATTATAAAAGCATACTTTCAGGCTAAAGAGATGGCTCAGAGGTTAAGAGCACTGGCTGCTCTTCCAGAGGTCCTGGGTTCAATTCCCAGCAACCACATGGTGGCTCACACCATCTATATTGATATGGTGCCCTCTTCTGGTGTGCAGGTGTACATGCAGATATGTATGTGGTGGCACGTGCCTTTAATCCCAGCATGTAGGAGACAGAGGCAGGTGGATTTCTGAGAGTTTGAGGCCAGCCTGGTCTACAAAGCAAGTCCAGGACAGCCGGAGCTTGATACACAGAGAAATCCTGTCGGGGGCGGGGGGGGGGAGACACCTAAATTATATATTAAGTGGAAACATTTAGAGCTATGTTCTCATCACACAAGCTCATACGTGAGCCTCGGGCGGGTCTATGAACCAGTTCTCGACATCTTTGTGTAATTCCGTTTGTCCAGACCGTCAGGGCGTCTGTGGGCGGGGTGTATACGTGTTCATGTGTGCTGTTTCTAGGACTCTGACCACTTTTTGTTTTTGTTTTATTTTGCTTTCCAAAGCCTGCTGTCTCCACACTCTTTTCTATTTTTTAAAAAAGATTTTATTTCTTTATTTTATGCAGATGAGTGCTCTATCTGCATGTACACCTGCAGGCCAGAAGAGGGCACCAGATCTCATCATAGATGGTTGTGAGCCACTGTGTAGTTTCTGGAAATTCAACTCAGGACCTCTGGAAGAGCAGACAGTGCTCTTAACCTCTGAGCCATCCCTCCAGCCCTCCACACTCTTTTCAAAGCTGATATTATCTTACTTTATACACTTCTTCAGAATCAAGGATGTGGCTGGAGAAAATCGGTGCAGTGAAATCTCATGAGAGCAATGGCTGTTTCCTCAGCTTTTTCTGTTTTTAGGATAGTGTTTAGGTTTGATATAGCCAAACAAGAAAGTGTTTGTGTGTATGGAATGTGTGTGTGTGTGTGCATGTGTATACATGTGTGTGCATTGTGTCTATGTAGTGTGTATGTGTGTATTGTATGTGTATGTTTGCAGGTATGTGTGGGTATGTGGGTGTTGTTGTTTATATTTCTAATCAATCAATCATTTTACTTCTGGAGCCTGAATAACTCCCAAGCACCATATGGTTCAGTTGATTTGAAGAATCACGTTTAAACGTGCATGACACAGCAATCAAATGGACGGAAACTTCATTTTGGGTTCCAACTGCAGACCCGAGTTTGCTACTCAGCTCACCCCGGACACCCAGCTGTTCCTCCAGACCCTTCCCATCTCAGCTTCCATCCCGTTGACCAAACTGGTCTCTCTGACTTCTGTTTTCACTTTCACCTTGTACATAACGTGTGAGAGAGAACCAGAGCTGCAGCAATTATGATGCGTCGGCAACAGCAGCAACACAGTTTTCCTTCTTTCCTTCCAGCCCCATCCGTCTCTGACCTGTCTTTAAATTTGTGTGCATAACAGTTGAGGAGTGGGACAGCAGGGAAGAAGAAAGGGCAGGAGTTGAGGCGATGCCATGAAAGGAAGGACAAAATTCTCCTTTGCGGTAGAATTCTCATCTGGAACAACTTTAGGTACAGAAACTAAAGTAAAGCACCCTCTTTGAATAAACTGAAACAAACAGCTGATTCACTCGTGAAGGGCAATTTTCAAGTGTTGAAAGCTGATCAAGATTAACGTTTACTCAGGCTTTACTGTGTACAGAGCCTCACTTTAACCACTCACCCATAATCCCGATTAATCGGTGACTTTAAGACGTGGGTACCACCAGGCCCAGTGGCGCACGCCTTTGATCCCAGCACTCGGGAGGCAGAGCCAGGTGGATTTTTGAGGGTTCAAGGCCAGCCTGGTCTACAGAATGGGTTCCAGGACAGCCAAGGCTACACAGAGAAACCCTGTCTCAAACACCCCCCAACACACACACTCTCTCTCCCCCAAAAAGAGTATCATTATTCATTTCATCTAATTTTTTTTTTTTTTTGGAGGAGAAACCCGTCCAAAACCATACAGCTGATCAGTGATGGCTCTGCTGTCGCACCCAGAACCCCGAACTCCAAATACTCAACTTTCAGCACAGTGTAGGCAGAGTCACCCCACGGCCTATCCATGTTTATACACTTACCTTGTTCTTGGGCTGTGTGTAGGAACGCCTTTCCAGGCCTGGGTTTCCATTCTGTGCCATAGCTCTCTTCGTCATCGCTCCTCTCTTCAGCTTGACACCTGCAGACACGGGCAGAACCACGTCTGAGGAGAAAACTGAAAAACACTGTGCCCTCCACAGTGTCGGAGCTGGCCCGCCAACCCCCTAAGCCTTTCTGATTAGGGCAATGTGGCGGGGCGGGCACCTCAAGTTAGGAAGGATCCTGATTTGATTTGATTTTTCAATCTCACCAGATAGACACCAAATCAGTGTCATCGTTTAACCTCACTGTGTGGGCCCGGCTCTGAGTTAACTCTCTCTGCGGCGGGAAGGAAGCGGGCTTACTCTGTCTGCGGTTGCACTCTGCTGCCTTGGGTGCTGTCAGCATGGCAAAGGGGTGCAGGGAGCGGCGGGGCAGCAGGGCCTGGGAGACCTGCGAGAAGACAGTTGTGTTGTACAGCGGTGGGGGCCTTGTGCGGGGAGCACCCGCTCCTCACAGCCCCTGGCTTGTCTCGCCAACCCCGAGCCCTGCTGAACGGTGGCACCGGAAGGAGGGCGAACGGGGTCTTCATTTACAGTCTTTGTTTGGTTCCCGGTTTGCACAGGGCGCTCCTCACAGTTCCCTCTCCTGCCACAGCCACTTTCTCTGCTCTGTCCTAGACTCCTGCCTTTCCTTTGCTGTGGAGCTCAAGTGCTCCCTTGTCTGAGCGATAAATTTGCCCTGACATGCTCTCACCTGCTCCCTCCTGCCCCACAAACTGATGCACAGTGTAGGCTGGGCATTTCCCCTTATGCAACCGGCATGTATTTAACCCGCTCTTAACTTTATTAATAATATTTCTATTAATTTTTTAAATTAAAAAAATAATTATATCACTTTCCCCATTCTCTCTTATTCTCTCTAACTCCTCCCATGTCCTTCCTTCTCTAATTGATGACCTCATTATTATTATTATCACATGAATATAAATGCATAAATAGTCAGGTATGGTGGTACACATCTCTAGTCCCAGAACTTAGAAGGCAGAGGCATGTAGATCTCTGAGTTTGAGACCAGCCTGGTCTACAAAGCAAGTTTCAGGACAGCCAGAGCTACACAGAGAAACTCTGTCTCAAAATTTTATAAAAATAAAAACAAATGCACTGACTGTTCTTCCAAAGGTCCTGAGTTCAATTCCCAGCAACCACATGGTGGTTCATAACCATCTATAATGAGATCTGGTACCCTCTTCTGGCATGCAGGCAGAAAGCTGTATAAATAATAACTAAATCTTAAAAGGAAAAAAAAAATGCTTGTCTACCATGTAAAGTCCCTGAATTCACTCCCAGCATTAAAAAGAAGAAGAAGAAGAAGAAGAAGAAGAAGAAGAAGAAGAAGAAGAA